AAAGAAAATTCTGCAGACCCTACGAATTACATGGAGTCCATCAGAATCTACTTCATTTAGAAATTTTAGGATTTATAATTTTTTTCAGGCAACAAATGCCTGAAAGTTTCTAAATGGATGCCCTTAATGACACACATTAGGCATAAAAATCTCACAAATTCAGTAAAGCAGAAATCTTTTAAATGATCCCTTTACTGACCACAAGGTAATAAAAATACATTCAGTAAGTGCTCATTGGAGAAAAGATTTAAATTAATTGCAGATAAATAACTTAATCCTAAAAAAAATCTGTTGGGTCAAAGAACAAATAAAAGAAGCAAGAGATAATATCATCAAAGAAAATGATGTTTCATTGTTGAAATAATATACCAATATTTGTGGAATAGATACAAAGCAATACTTTGGATTAATTTTTTATCTATAAATTTTTCTTTAGTACTATTTTCCTTTTTTTAAGATTGTTATTAGGCAATAAATTGTGAGAGGGCCCCCTGGTGCCAATGGATCTGTGTTGTCATACAAACAGCAAGACAGTTTGGTTTTTCACCTGAAAGAATTAGGGAGTAATTTTTAATCGACCTCATGTCCCCGTGCAGAAAGCCCCACAGTTTTTGGCACAGCACAATATAGTGGATAGAGAGCTAGACTCAAAGGGAGGAAGTTACGGGTTCAAGTTCCACCTTTTACATAACCTAGCTTAGTTATTCTGGGTTAAATCACTTTATCTCTCAACCCTCTAGTCAATTCTCTAATATTACAATTTATAGAGGAGGTTTGGACTTGCTCTAACAGAGGCATTTTCTCATCTGTGAATTCTCTGTACTAATGAAATTTCGGGTTAAATTCCTATCATTATCTGTAGAGACCAGGTTTTCTCTGTGGAAGGGGAATGTTGATTTTCTTTTCTTTGTTGTGTTTGGGTTGGCCAGGCCCCAGTTTACCATTGACAAATCTGGATCTTTCCATGACAGGAAAAAAAAAATCACATCAATTTGTTCAACTAACTGTCCCGTGGCATACTTTTTTTTCACTCTTGCCTCTGTTCTGATCCCTTTGTTTAGACTGAGTGCCCTCTGTCTTTTTTTTTTATTTGTTCCTATCCTACTGATTCTTCAAGGCCCAGCTGAAGTACAAAAGTGAGAAGAATATTGGATTTGAAGTTAGAAGACTGAATTTAAATTCCACTATCTACAAACTACTACCTTTTGCCATGTTATTCACCTTCCTCTCGCCTTAGTTCCTTTATTTATAAAATGAAGGAGTTTAATAAGGTGACTTATAATTTATTTCTGGTTCTAAATTTGGGATCCTAAAATTTATTACCTCCTTTTGAAGCCTTCCTGACCACCCTAGATGTTTTGTTGTTATTTACTCATTTTTCAGTCATGTCCAATGCTTCATGAACCCATTTGGGGTTTTCTTGGCAAAAATACTGGAGTGGTTTGACATTTCCTTCTCCAGCTCATTTTACCAATGAGTAACTGAGGCAAACAGGGTTAAGCAATTTGCCCAAGGTCACACAGCTAGTAAGCATCTGAGGCCAGACTTGAATTCAGGAAGATGAGTCTTCTTGACTCTAGGCCTGGCATTCTATCTGCTGTGACACCTAGCTTCCCCACTCCAGACACTACTACCTCTCCATTCTCTGATCTCATATTACCTCTACATATATTTACTATTTTCATTATCATATTAATATGTGCCACTTATTGTTTTACAAATATGTCTTATTTTCTTTGTCCAAAATAGGCTGTAATATCCTTGATGACATGGCCACGCATGTTCCTTTCAGAATATCACTTTATCTAATACAGTTATCCCAATTTTATGTACAGCATATCATGATGGTGGTAGTGGTAGTGGTGATGATAATAATGAAAATTCACATTCATACAGTTGCACAATCATCATGTCAGGTAACTAGTATGTGTAAATGTTACTATTTTAGGGCTGAGGAAACTAAGAATATAAAAGATTAAATATATCCATGATTACAGAGCAAGTAATAATAATAATAGCTAACATAGTAAATGTCCCTTTCATCTCTAAAATTTTGATTCCAATGATGATTATACTCACATAGATGACATGGTGGGCTACTTGAAAACATCAGTTATTCAAGGAACAAAACAGAGAAGATATAAAATGTCAAGAATTCTCCCCACTCAAAAAACAAACTTTTTGAACTAAAGCAAAGTTGAAAAGTTTTTGAAAAGGAAAACTGTGGAAATAAAATGGAGAGTATAAGGAAAGGATGGGTCACAGTATCTTCTAAAAAGTTGAAAGATTGATTTAATCCCTCAGAAAAGACAAGGCAAAAAGTAGACCACCAAGCATTTAAGGTATAAGAAAATTAAATAGGAATGAGACTTAAAGCTTTCAAATTTAGTTTCCAATTATATTATTCAATGGAAATCATTGGTTGAGAATTTTTATAATAGTGTTAGAAGCCCTAGATTCAAAGAGGATGAAATTCTAGCACATAGTTTTATATATAAATATAAAGTGAACTGTGTGAAATAGTATCATTCTTTGGGGGGGGGAAAGTGCTGTGGAAAGTGAAAATAAAACTGACTGTAGTTGCAAGACAAATCACATCTCTGACATTTACCATCAGTGGGACCTTGGGCAGGTTATTTAACTACCTTGGACCTCAGTTTCCTTATCACTAAAAAGACAGGCTTGGATTAGATGGTCCCTGAGGTTCTTTTCAGCTGCAGATCTATGAGCTTATGACTTCTTCTGACCACAATAATCAGATTGTTTTCCTACTTGTCAAAAGATTTCAAAAGTAGAAGCTATGATGTCCACTAATCTTAAATGGCAGGAAAGAAGTGATATTTTTGATTGTCCAACAAAATACTTTTACTTCCAAAAAAGAAAAACTTTCTCCATGTCCAATTGTATCTTTTTCCATTCTTTTCTCTTGATAGAAATCCTTTATTTTTCATAGAGAAACTAGACATACCATACTAGTAATTGAATTTAAGTTCATATTTTAGATGCAAATGCAATAAGAAAAACTAAAAGTCATTAAACTGTATGATGAATTGATAAGAACAGAATGCAGTATATCATTTCCTAGTCATCACATTGGAAAGGGGGTGTGTCTAGCACTGGAAATAAGAAGAGGGCACTGTCATACTGAATTTTCACTTTGTATTAAATATCTATTTCAAATCTCCAGTATTATCATACTGAATCAATAACTGATTTTTAAATCCTAAACTATAAATTCTGGAATGGGATATAATCTTTCATACAAAAGCCAACATTTGCCATGGTAAACTACTGCCATACGTGTACTTGCTATAAAAATCAAATATAAAAATAAATTGTTCATGTTACATTTTGCCAGATTTTCAGGTGGCATAAATAGAAGGATTTGGAGAAAGAATTACTGTACTTAGTTCTGCTGGGACCTGAAAAATTACAGATGAAGCCTGAATTTCCAAGATTAAAGGGGGTAGTGAACACCTCTGGAGGAAATGACCATAAATCTAAGTGTGAATATCTCCACTTCGGAAAAAAAAAAAAGACCTGAAAATCATGAAGAAATGAACATTAGATTCCCGGTTGTTACTACTTGCCTATATATTACATATGTTTAATATAGAAGAAGACTGAAGAAGATGTCAGATTAAAAAAAAATGACCCCTTCTAAAGGAAGTGATTGTCTTCCATTAAAAATGCAGGTCCCACAAATTGTAAACCAAATTTGAGTCATTTAAAAATAATGAATGTTTCAGTAATTCATGTCATTTCCTTGTTAGAAAGTTAACTCTCTTCCCCTGGGAGGCATCTATAAAAAGCAGGAATAGCCTCTTCCATGGCTTATCCTCTACTCTATTTTTTAACCTCTCCAAATAATAATTTTTAAAAAATTATTTATAGTTCGCTGCTGTGACCTCAGAGTACTTTTGAATAGTCGAATGAATCTTTGGATGAAACAATGGCATCAATTGTAATGTGTCAAATATACTGGCATGGTTTTTGGCAAGGGATCTTTGGTCAGAAATAGCAAAGTATAGTTTTTGCTGACATTTTATTTCAATAAAGGAAAATGCTTCAGGAGTTTGCAAAAACTATACCGATATTAAAGCCTGTGAAGAAACAGCAATTTCCAGGTTCATTCCAGTTTTTGATTCATACTGCAGCACCAGCTTCCATTTGAAATCACGCAAGAAGTCAACACTCCCAATACATTCTTGATTATTAAACCTAAACAGGAATTCACGAAAAAATAGCATTCACAGACAAGTAACGCCTCCCTTACCATTACCTTCTAGGAACAAAGTACGTTATTCTTCCCCGCTTTCAAATTATATGTGTCTCTTGTTTCAACATCAGCTAAATTAAGGCTCCCTCCTCCACCCCCCTCCCCCGCCCCGTCCTGCAATCTTAAGTTAGCTGACTTCTTTTCAAAACAAAACAACAGTAACAACAACTACAACAACAACAAAAAACCCTTGTTTTCATATTTGCACACACAGACGTATTCAGTGTTTCAGATTTAGCAGCTGTGTATACTTAGACCATCACTGCGTTATTATTTAGCCCTCATCTTTTGGTACACTGATATGTTAAATGCTACCGTCTCTCCACTAATATAAATTACCAGGACAATTCAATCAGGGTCTTACGCAGTTTCCCCAGTCTTAATCCAGAAGTGCATTCGGCAACCACCATTCTTTCCAGGGCCAGCTGCTTAACCCAGCTGAAGCATTTCTCTGAATGCTCTAGATTCCAACGTGCAGCAGTAAAGAGCGCTCTTGTGGACACTTCTTTTTCATCTTCTCGCAACAGCTTTCGATGTTGTTTCCTCTTTTCATTAAACCAAGATTAGTCCCCGTTCCCACATCCCTCTCCATCCCAGCCTCTATTATTATAATTATATTATTATTATTATTATTATTATTCCACTCACTCTCCAGTCAGCTGTCAGCATGTGTAGCTTAAACTTGTCCAGCTTTTCTAGTTAAGGCAGTTTCACAGCTTACCTATCCAAAGGACAAATTCGGCTCCGATCAAAAGTCACTCACATCATCAGTCCAAAAGCCAAAAGACCTCAGTGCTCCAATCTCAAGAGACCCACCCCACACAAAGACATACATACTTCCCTCCCCACCCCCAACCAGGGGTGGGGCGGGGAAGAAACTCTTCCTCTGATCCAGTTGAGGAGAGAAAGCTCTTAAGTCTGACCCCGACGTGATCCTACAGAATGTACTCCGCGAATACTTTTGAAGAAAGCCAAGTATACTGGCAGGTGCATCATCCGCTGATCGGAGGGGTAAAATAAATAAATAAAATTTAAAAGGTAAACGGGAGAAAATGGCATGGGGGCAGGCTAGGAAGTTTACTTTCTCTGATGTAGTCTTCCCCAAATGCTTGGGTTTAAAAAACAAACTACCAAGCAAACTTTGGAAGGAAGGGGAGCTCTAGAGATGAGGGATGAAGTTTCCCACAAGGTCTAAGCAGAAGTGCAGGAAAGTGCTAGTTGTTCCTATTTTTGTTTGGTTTGAAGTCACTCTTCCAGAACTCCACTCCAAAATGTCCCTCTCAGCAATAGGATAGAGAGGATAAAGTGGGTATTGGCGCAAGCACGAGCTCCTTACCGCTTCTGCCCATACAAAGCCTAGGAAATGGCTGCGAAAGAGGCTGTTTCTCTACGGTTTTTAACCCCACCCCTTTTCCCAGCTGAGGGTTACACCTGCTACCGTCCAACCTGCAATATAAGCGTATACTACCTAAAATAAACTAAATCAGAAAGCAAGAAACTCCGAATCCATTGCCCTTTTCACTTGAGGACATTAAAGCCGTCATCAGGGCTCCTAATAGGAGTGTTAAAGCAAGAAAAGAGAAGGAGAGGAGGAGAGTAAAGGGGGACGATAGCAGGGAGAAGATGTGTTGGTTCCTCTATACTAAAAGCTATGGGAAGCCCCTTAGTGTCTGAGCCAAGTGCTGCAGAGACTCAGTTCCAGAGGAAAGAAAAGGGCGGTAGGGGTGAGGGGGGTCGAGAAAAGGTTATATTAGAGTCTCACTGATTCCCCTCCCCTCCCCCGGTTTACTAGGACTATAACTACAAGATAAAAATCACCAGGAAAAAAACAAAAACGGAGAGAATATGCCTGGAGGGCGTGGAAGGGTTGAAAAGATATTAGGGGTTTGCCTTGTTGCAATCGGTTAACTAGTGAAAAGCAATTTGTTATTTATTTTATTTTTCATCAGTCCTCCCTTCTTTCTTCCCCCTTCTTCCTTTTAATTCCCGGTCCCTCACCATCCCGCTAGTCTGCGGTCAGTGTAAGACTGGGCTTGCGTCTGTGTCTGTATGTGTCTGTGTATGTATGTGTATGTGTGTGAATGTGCGCCCGAGCGCTGCCTGCGCGGAGTGGGTGACAGCTAGTGAAGGAGCGGCTAGTTCCTCCTCTCTCTCTTTCCCCTCTTCCTATCTTCTTCGTTGCTTTCCCCCTCGTCCTCTTCACCCAGAACCGAGGCTACCCCAACTAAATCTTCCCTGCAGCCCGCCGCTTCTTCACTTCAAAGTTTCCTCGGGGCCAACAGATTCTTCTCTACTGAGCTTCCCAGAAAAAGACATTTTCTCAAGCTTTGCCTTGATCTGTTGTTCATCCCCATCTCCTCCCGCCCCCAACCACCTCGCACAACCATTCAGGAAACCGGAGCAGCGAGTTGAGGATTTTGCCAATTAAACAGGAAAAAAAAAAAAAAGACAGCAAAAGAGAACGAGGGAGAGTAGCAGCAGCTGGGAGTCTCTGCTTTTGTCCTATCTAATTCTGAACTGATTTGTCATTTTTTGTTGTTTTAAGGGAAGAAGAAAATTACATAGGAAACCAAGTTGGAAGAGGAGGGGCTGGGGAGACTCAAGGGTGCCAGTGAGGTTGCCACCATCCTGCTTTTCATATTGTATAAGGTTTGAAAGCTGTCTGCGCTCCTCTGGGTGTCTAATCCTCATCTGCTCCTAATAGAATTAAAAGGGAAAGCAAAAGGAACTGAGGTTTTGGAACTCAAGAAAGACACCAGACTTGTGAACACTGCATCCACCTTGGTTTTAAGGACACCGCCTCAAGGTAAGAGACAGTAATACCGCTGCCTGAATTAACACTGGGAGGATAACTTAAAATAGATGTGTATTTTTGTAGGTGCATATATTTTATTTTAAAATGCAACTTTATTTGTGCATTTTTGAAAATCCTTAAATGTATTCTGTGCGATTGTTTTAGCAGGAGCGGGGAGGAAGGGGGGAGGAGGTATTACGGTGGGAATTTAAACGAGGTTACCCAAGATGGAAATGGTGCTGATGCAAGGCTAAGTGTTGCAAGGCAGGAAGCGGAAAATCGTGTCCTGTCATGGTACTTTCTAGAAACTATTGAAAATTGTAAATCTCAGTGTGGTCTAGGTTCACTGTCGTGTACGTGTGTGTATATTTGGATTTTTTTCTCTACAAGATTGCCGCTCGAGGCAGTCCCCCCCTCAGCTTTTGCAAGCATTTTAAGCATTATAGACCCATCCCCTTGTTGGCTTAAGGAGCTGTGAGTTCGGAGGGTGCCCTCCAAGGGAAGCTGCATCAGGTAAGTAGAGTACAGGGGGCAACGGATGGCACCTTCGCTAGTGGCGGCTGGTGCTAAGCTGCAACCCTTGGGCGCTCTCTTCTTTTGCCTCTCCTTGTCTGATCTGGAACTGGTGCTGTTCACTTGTCTTCCGCTAGAGGTTCCTATCGGGTACGTCGGCCAAAGGTGGGTGGGGGAGCAGCTGGGAAATGCGAAAGCGGGCAAAAGGAGCTAGCGCACCGGAGGGGTGGTGTGCTTGGCACCAGAGGCTGCGAAACACAGTATTGGCCAGGAACAGAGGCAACCGGAGTTCCCAGTACCTCCTCTTGGCCTCGCGAAGCAAGCTAGTGAGGTTCCAAATAGGGACTCTGCTCTTGCGCCACTGAAGGGACCAGCTTTTGGCTAACGACCTGAAGGCAGCCCCTGGAGGTAATAATACCTTTTCTCCCTCTACCTTTCCTGAGCCTTCAACTAAGAGCGCGGGCTGTGGGGGAGGGGGAGTAGGGGTGGGAGAATGTGTGTTTCTACAAGCAGACGTGTCAAGACACCTCTGTGTTGTATGTATTAGGAATGATCTGTGATCTTGCTCCTTTTTCTCATAACGTTTAAGTGCCTTCTTTAGGGAAGTTGTCCGTAGGTAAGATTTGATGATTGGTCTACAGGCTGGACTGCCATGAGGTGCACAGGCAAACCTAGCAATGCACCTCTGAGCTGCAGTGGACAGGAATGAAAGACCCCTTGAGTGAGGTGGGCTGGGGTGAGGTGAAGAAAGAAGAGCACCGCACCCATCACTTCTCATTAATCTTTAGTTGAAGATAAAGCATTCTTGCCTTGAATATCCCCTGACCTGGTATTTTAGTGATTCCCTTTCCCTAGAGATTGATTGCCGGTGGGGGGAGGAAGAAAAGCTACTGGGACAGTTTTGTGAGTGGAGAAAAGGGAGGGAGGAAGAGGAGGCTTAAGCATGTAGAGGAAAGATGAAATGAAATTAAACATGGGGAAATAACAGGTTTGGGACTCGGTTCTCTGGTAAAGTCTAGTCCCTTTAACATTGTTTTTGACATAATGCAATCGATTAAATCCGATAAAACAAAAATAACCTCTTTCCAGCATCTAGTACACTACTGAGGACACAGTAGCCGCTGAATATATACATATACATATACATACACTAACAAAAAAAAAATAGTAGGCATTCTGTAGATGGTGTGACCGCCTTGTTCCTGTCAGACAGTTGACAATTTATATGTTTTCCAATACACTATACTGTGTGTAGATGCACACCATATGTGATTATTTTACACTGGGTAACACAGTTCCAGTGTCCCCTTAAGGAGGCTCTTGACAAACATGAGTTTTGAACAGATATTAAATCTTTGACAGAATAATACTTTAGGGGGGTAGGGAAATAGTAATAATGCATAAGAATTCTTGGTAAATTGAATAAACAATAAAGTTATGACATTTGTGAAATGTTGATCCATATAATTAAGAGTAGACATATTTACCAAAGACAGGAAGTGATGGGTAACATTAGAAGGGAGATCATTCTTCGGTGTATTATCATCACCATCCAGTAGAGTGTATGATTTCCAATGCTATCGCAGTATGTAGCAGATAAAAGGAACACTCTGCTTCAAACCAGTTAAAAGGTTTTTGAAACATTGTCAGACATTTCAACCTAACAATTTTAAACTAATTAAGTGTCAACTGGGGGATGAAGTCTGTATGTTACAGTTTAGTTGTTATGGCCTGAATATATTTTGATTGAAATTATTTTCTTAAGATATACATGTGAGTCAGTTAACATTATGTAATGAGTTTCACTTAAGGGAAATGAAATTAGGCCAATATGTTGTTGCTTATGCTCCTAAAACATAATGTTAGGCAACTGAGGATGAGATTACAAGGGAAATCAATATAAAGTTTGTCATTCATATGATAGATACACTGTATTTGTCTCTATGCAGAAGCCAAGAAAAAAAATGATGGTTAGTCTCAAAGGGCTGTATTATATTTAACTTATTATTTTTAGGAATCTTACAATTTGGCAGAATGCTAATCTATTTAATTAAAATAAAGCTATTATTTCTCAGTTTAGGGACAATTCCCCCTCTGGAAAGACATCCTGGGAAATCAGATGTCTGGACAATATGTGTGTATGTTCATAACAGGGTATTGTTTCTTGACACTGACTGCCAAAACAAAACAAAACAGTGTTGAAGCTGAAAATTTAGTATCAAGTCCATTTTTAGAGCTTTTTTATTTTAAAAAATATTTTTAGGAGAATCAAAACCACCATAATGCATATCATGAAACCAAACTCTCAGAAAATTCAGGTTAAAAAAACAAATAATTAAAACATATAACATTAATTAGCTTAATTTTCTTAAGTTATAATTATGATTTGACTGTTTTATAGATTGTTACAAATTTTATTTGCTCTATGTATTCTGTCAAAGAGCTCTGGGAAGAAATTGTTCCCTTTTTAGCTTAGGGAAAGGAGGTCAATATATGCAATGATGTATATCAATTTAATATACTATCTGTTGCCTTTTAAACACAGGACAGCATCAAGAGAAAATCATCATTTACAGAACTTACTCAAATAATTTGCCAGTCAAACATTTCTTTTCTGTCAACTCCAGTCTTGAGGTTTGTGATTCTGGGTCTTCCCCATTCAGCATTATCCTCTTGGGGGAGGGACTGATTTGCTTGTCAGCAGTAATAGGAGCTTAACTAAGAGGTGAAAAGCCCTATTTGCTGAAATTTCAAGGGAGATATTTGAACAGGTATTAATAGAGCTTAAGTTCTCTAAAAATTGGGGAAAGGGAGAGAGAATTGAGCTGGAGGGAAGAGAAGATTGGAGGAGAGGTTATCATTAGACTTCAAGTCAGGGATATAAACACACAGAGGCAATCTCAGAAATTCCTTTATTTAAGGGAATACCACAATCTCCTTCCATGCCAATTATTTTCATTTTCCTGTGGGTCCCTAAGTTTAAAGTTACTGCATAGAACCTTG